AAAACATCATTAATCAACTTATTCTATATCATACTGACTTAATCCCTAGATGAATAAAATGCATATACGTACAGTACATTCATTACTTACCTTAAAATATTTGTAGTCTTAATGTAGAGTGAGAGGTGAGTAAACAAGATGAGTTCATGAGAGTGTAGAAGGTTCACTGAGTTTTGTAAACAAACCAGCTGTTGTTGTTAGCAGTCCGGACACAAATGGTTTATGTTCACTCCGTCAAGCTGACTGGAAAAACATCTTATATTTATGTTAATTTATATGTTTATATGTTACATAGCATGTTTATTATATAATTTTGACAAAGTGTAGCATTAAGAGTGTAGCAATTAAGCGATTAGCTCTTTCAGGGTCCAGAGGCCAAATTTCAAAGTGTGCACCAGTGTCCAAGAATTTTCAAAAAATAATTATGTTATTTTTTCTCATGAATGGTAGGGAATCTTTTTCTGAAGGTAATAAAACAAAAAGTACGAAATTTGATGGAAAATTGACAAAATTATGCTCGTGAATTTTGACGTGTCAGCGATATTTACACATTGGCGATTTTGCCGACTTTGACTCCCATTTTAGACCAATTACCCTATTCCAGTCGACCAAATTCTTAGCTATTTCACTAGTATTACTTCTATTCTATCAACTGAGCACAAGAAATCACCAACTCAACTGTTTCCACTACAAAATAAAGTGAATGGAAATTGGTAATTTGGCCAATTTAGTGCAAAGTTCAAAATATTCCAGTTTCAAAATTGAGTCCAGAATAAACAATGCAGGCATTCCTGGCACTAAACTAACATTTCCTCTGCTCATTAGTTATGTTTTCAGGCTTTACAAATGAATTCCATTTTGATTTTTAATTCACATAATGAATTTTTATTCAAGCCAAAAAATATAAGATTTACTGTCATGCAATATTGTAATAATTGTATAAATAATATCAGCACATTTATGAATGTATATTAGACCCACCAGCAGGTGTGTATTAGACGTGTGAGGTCATTTGTTTACTCTTGAACATTGGCAAAAAATTAACATTTCTGCTACTTTGAGCTCGGTTACAAGCCATTTTCAGTACTAAACCCAATCAAAATCATCTCTGTTTCTGTAATATATCTTCCATTCTATCAAATGAGACCAAGAAATCACAAATACAACTATAAAAAACATACAAAAAGCACTGCAAAGTTGCTGTTTTAATAAAAAATTAGGGTCTCGGTTTTTTTCTCTCATTATGCACTGTGTGCTGCAGGATTTGTTTTATGTGGTGCACACATACCACATAGATGTATTCTCTCATATCTAGGCCCAAATTTACTGCTCACAGCTTATCAGAGTGAGCTGAGCTCATGGCGTAGATCTATGGTTTGAACCCTCAACATAAAGCCATAGATCTACGGCACAGACCCTGAAAGGGTTAAGTGATAGAAAAAGGACAAAATGAAATAAGCTCCTGACAGCATAAGCTGCTCTGCCTATCTTCTGCAAGGTATGTAAATGGTGTATATACACCAGTTCATTTCTACATTATGGTTATATTGTTTATTATGTCATATTAGATGAATTGTGATAGATAAATAAATGAGGTTGCATCATATTGAGTACTGTTTTGTCATGCCTCCTGACAGCAGGAACGGATTAATTGGATTCACATTATTTCATATGGGAAATATTGCTTCGACTTCAGTATGTTTCGACTTTAATACTAGCTCCTGGAACGGATTAAGTACGAAACTCAAGGTACCAGTGTACGTATTAGGAATTTTATGTTTACAGTCATTTGAGTGGGTGTAAGTGTAAATTAGGGGGGAATTACAGATAACGACAGTAAGACTATATTGTTTTGGATGTGTTCATGATACAAAAAGAGAATTAGGTGGTTTTCATTTGGTTAGCTGATGATGGGGTGTGTTAGGGAGATGAGATGTTTGTTAATGGTAGTTTTGAAAATGGTGGTTGAGTCTGCAGTTCTAGAGTTTTCAGGCAGGGAGTTCCTGATTTTAGGTTCTTTTATGTACATTGAATTTTTGTAGAGGTTTAGCTAGACATGGGAAATGTCATAGAAATTTTTGTGCTTGGTGTTCTGCCTGTGGGTTCTGTCACAACTGTCAAGAAAGTGTTTTAGTTCAGGGTTAATATTAAATTTATGGTTCTGTAAATGTAGGTTGGACAGTAGTAGATGTGAATGTTCTGTACGGTGAGTAGGTTTAGGTCTTTGAAGAGTGGGGGTGTGTGTTGTCTTCCATTGGATTGCATGATGATTCTTACTGCAGCTTTCTGTTAGGTTATTATTGGCTTTAGGTGAGTTGCTGCTGTTTATCCCCAAGCTCAGATAGCATAGGGATAGATAAATGGATAGTATAATGTGAGTAGGGCTGATTGCGGTACGTAGTAACGTATCTTGGAGAGGATCCCAACTGTTTTGGATACTTTTTATTTTTTGTTGGATATGGGTATTGAATTTCAGGTTGCTGTCAAGTTGCAGGCCCAGGAATTTGCCCTCATTATGTTTAGCAATAAGAGTGTTGTCAGTCATTATGTTCAGCGGGGCAACATCTGTTCTGTTCCCAAACTGAATGTAGAAGGTTTTGTCAATATTAAGTGTAAGTGTCCCGTGGCCTGATCATTAAAGCTCTCATTTCACATGGTGAGGGTCTGCGTTCGATTCCCAGCATGGGTAGAAACATTGGGTGTGTTTCTTTACACCGATTGTCTATGTTCACCCATCAGTAAAATGGGTACCTAGGAGTTAGTCGACTGGTGTGGGTCACATCCTGGGAGAAGGACCTAATTTGCCTGAAATGCTCTGCATAACAAGGGGCTTTCTATATACGTAGTAGTATGTCATTGACGTCAGCTAGGCCTGTATACCATGTACATGTACTTGTAGAAATAAAGATATTACAGTGGAACCTCTACTTGCGAGTTTAATCCATTCCACGACCTTGCTCATAACTGGATTTGCTCATTTGCAGAGTCAATTTTCCTCTTTTAAATTAATTGAAATGCAATTAATCCGTTCCATTGGAATTCTGTACTTCAATAATTTCGCTAATATCAACTTTATGGCTTATTTATCTATCAGAGTTCATCTAATATGACATAACAAACAATATAAATAACATAGAAACCTGATATATACTCCAGAATGCATAAAATGTCATTATGTAACAGGTGGAGGCAGCCACAACCACTCTCTCTTTGTTGTGGTAAACACTGCTATCTAGTGACGGCCTTTTGAAGTCGCCTGTTATTATAATTATTATTACGTAGTACATTATTATGATATATGTATTATTATTATATGTATTATACTATTATTATTGTATTATTATACTATTATTATACATATTATTATACATATGATTATTATTATTATGTTAAGCATCTTTCCATCATACATTACCCAAGTTTCAATAAGATAGTCCAACAAACAAATGAGATACAATTCCCTAGATCAAGAGCAAGAGCCCCTCACCAGCTTCAAGGCACCTGTCTTGAGGTCTGTTTGCTTATGGAAATTTTGCTTGCGTATGGAAGCAAAAATTGATCCATCGACTGCTCGTATTTGGAAAAACTCGCACATGGATGCGCTTGCAAGTAGAGGTTCCATTGTATTATTATTATTATTATTACTATTATTATTAAGTTTATTAGCAGTCATTATTATCATTATTAATATGGCATCGTCAAGACTAATAACTTGTACCTGCACCCCAGCATAGTGCATAAGTTTACTTAGGTACAGGTACACATAAGTATAATTATCCTGGAGTTTACCTGGAGAGAGTTTCGGGGGTCAACGCCCCCGCAGCCCGGTCTGTGACCAGGCCTCCTGGTGGATCAGCGCCTGATCAACCAGGCTGTTGCTGCTGGCTGCACGCAAACCAACGTACGAGCCACAGCCCGGCTGATCAGGAACTGACTTTAGGTGCTTGTCCAGTGCCAGCTTGAAGACTGCCAGGGGTCTGTTGGTAATCTCCCTTATGTGTGCTGGGAGGCAGTTGAACAGTCTCGGGCCCCTGACACTTATTGTATGGTCTCTTAACGTGCTAGTGACACCCCTGCTTTTCATTGGGGGGATGGTGCATCGTCTGCCAAGTATGTATATATAAAATATGAAATACATAACTTTAAAACACTTGAAATTTTGGAAAGTTTCCAGATAATGGAGAGTTGTGCTCATGGGGAATGTAAACAAACTGGGTGGGGCACGGTGACTGTATTAGAAAGTCAGGTGGGGAGCTGTATAGAGAGTTTTGGTCATAATTTGAAATGTCCATATTAACGGAACACCATAAGGCAAAACTCCATAAAGCGGGGCCCTACTGTATTCAAAATGTAAGGCAAATGGGTATGTGACTGATGAACAGAGAACTTACTGTTTTACTGCCAAGAATGTCTACATTGTTTATTTTGAACATTTTTAAACTGGTATTATTTTTTATTTTATGTGAAATTGGCCAAATTACCAATTTCTGTGCATTTTATAGTGTAGTTGAAACAGTTTAATGGGCAATTTCTTATGTTCAGGTGATAGAATTGAAGGAATACTAGCAAAGTAGCTAAAAATTTAGTCGAATGGAGCAGTGGAATTGACTTATTATAGGACTCAAAGTGAGCAAAGTCACTGACATAACTTTGTGCTTTTGTCATCCCATAAGTTTTTCATCAAATTTCATATGTTTGGTTTCATTAAATTCAGAAAAAGATTCTCTACCATTTCAGAAGAAAAATTATTTAAAAAAAGAAAGAGTAGGGAGAGAGTGGACCTAGTAGTGACCAGTGAAGAGGCAGGGCCAGGAACTATGAATCATCCACTGCAACTACAATTAGATGAGTACAGACCAATATTAATTTTGGGTGTCTGGACAGTGAAAGATGAAATAGAGGATTCACTGAACTTTCATTCTACATTTACCATAATGTTAATTATGTATTGACAATGAAATGACATCCTTATTGATAAAGTATGTACATATATATTTCAGAAGTTGCTGAAATGTAGAGCTTCAGTGTGTGAAAGCCATTGTTTAGAACCTAAAGATGTAGAATTATCAATGGGCATGTCAAATGACTTCGAGCATGCAGTAAGTACCTGTGAATATCTTTTTATTAAATCAGTTATCACCCCACCCAGGCAGGGTAACCCAAAGGAAGAAAACACATTCACCATCATTCATTCAATAGCTGTCTTGCCAGAGGTGTGCAGGCATCACGGTTCAAATAACCCTCCAAGCCACTTCATCTGCATTCATCTTTCAGAGTGCAGGCACTGTAATTCCTACTTTTAGAACAGCTAATTGATTCCCTGAATCCCTTCATAATGTTACCTTGTTCATTTTCCAGGCCAGTGTTATTTAAGAGATAGTTATTATACAGTGGAACCTTGGCACTCGAACTTAATTGGTTCCAGAAGGCTGTTCAAGTGCTGATCTGTTCGAGTACAGAACATATTTTTTCCCAACCAATTTTCTTTTGGGTTGGCTGTTATCACTGACCCTCTTAGGCCCCATGGTGACTCATTTATATAAATAATATAAAAAAAAATTTGAAGAAATATGAAATGGTTTGCAGCAAAGTTCTGGCAGGTTGTGTTTGTTCGGTCGAGTGCTGAGCAAATGGCCAACTACCGAGCGATTCGTTTCCTGAACAAACGTTTGAATACCGAATTGTTTGAGTATGTAGCTGTTCGAGTACCGAGGTTCCACTGTACGTGTCAAAATTTAATGCCTTAAGTTGTATATTTTCAAAGAAGAATTACTGTAGATAAGAGGCAAAACCATTGAGTATACATATATAAAATTTTGTCTGAAAGGCATTTTCTCTCTCTAAATATGTGATAAATGAAAGATGAATGGATGAAAATACAGTTTTTTCTAACTATCATGTACAATTTTTCAGATTCTTGTTGGGAGCACCAACGTGAGGGTCGGCAGCACGATCTTCGGAGCACGAGCTATCAAGAAGTAGAAAGAGAATCATAGTAGCTTTTTATTTACTATATTATAAAAAAAATAACTCCTTACTGATACAATAAGTGTTATCTTTTCTCATACTTTGCATTTTATTGCTATCTCTTCAGATAAAATAAATTATATAAATAGATAAGTATAAATTAACCATAATACAATTTGAAATTTATTAATACAGTATAAAATATAAACAGCTTTTTTCATTTACCCAGCACTGTCCAGTTGACCGTTATATTACATGGTAGTTATGTTCCTGAAAATGCCGTGTTAGGTAAATCTGTGTTAGATAAACTGAAGAACTTGTGGGAAAATAGGGTTACGTTCCTGCATGCCCCCAAAAAGCCAGACAACTTTTTTTAGACCTCCAGCTCTTACAAAAATAAAAGTGAATATGTAATTGTAGTTCATTGTTGTGATGTATTATGTTGTTTTTACTGCTTAAGACTACAAATGCAACAGAAATAATAGTATTTATTACCTTAAATTGTGGGTGTTGGTGTTTGTGGATGATTGTAGAAAGTTATGCTGTGGCCCTACTGGGCTGAGGTGGATGGTAGAGGTTCTGGTACTGAAGTCGATGGCTGTACTGGAGTGTGCATAAATTCTGTAATCGATTTCTGATTCTGTTTTACCCCGCAGTACATTATACAACTGACAGTAAGGTATCAGCTGCTCTAGACACCATTTCAGGGTCCTCTTCAGTAAAAAAGTCTAACTTTAAGTCGGTCAGTAAATCAGTCAAGTCAAGTCAGTCAGTCAATAAATTAGCCAAGTCATTTAGTCAGTAAGCCATTCATCACACAAACTCATATATTTACTTCATTCTTTTTAATTTTACGATGCTTCATTATGGCCACAGGCTGTCTCTTGTCTAATATTTCTATTTTCTTCATTACCTCTAAGACTTTAACGCTTATACCTTCTCTTGCCACTTTCAGCAACACTGGCATGCCTACTGGGTGCCATGATTGCTTGGCAGATACAAGAAATGGTAATTAAAAGATCAAAACACAATTCACAAACACAGCTAGCTCCTAAGACAGAATGGAACTGAACACGTATTCACGAAGGCTGGGATGGTGCTGGCGGGAGTGTCAGGGTTGGCAGGGAATGGAGGGAGGTCTTCCCCGCTGATTCATAACAAAGCTAGAGCTGGGGAAATTTTTTCCACGCCTGTGAACGGAACTGTGTAAAGTTAATTTTACGAAGTGTTGTTTAACCCTTTGACTGTCGCAACCCCCAATCCTGAGGTGTCTCCTGGTGTCGCAAAATTTAAAAAAAAAAAAAAAATTTTTTCTTATGAAATGATAGAGAATCATTTCCCGATTGTAATGACACCAAAAAAACGAAATTTGATGGAAAACTGACGGAATTATGCTCTCGCGAAGTTAGCAACCTCGGCTCTGTTTACAAATCGGCGATTTCGCCCACTTTGAGCCCTATTTTCGGCTAATTCCATTGTTCCAGTCGCCCAAACTCATAGCTATTTCTTTAGAACTCCATTTTTTCTATCGATTGAGTACAAGAAACTGCCCATTTACCGATTTCAACTACCTAATAATGTGGTCAGAAATTTGCAATTTGGCCAATTTCACGAAAACTAAAAAATATGACAATTTCAAAATAAGGTCCAGAATGAACAATGCAGACATTCCTGGCTCTAAAATAACATTTTCTTTGCTCATCAGTCATGTCTCCAGGCCCCTCTGATATTACTCTTGCTTTCTATTTTGAATTTTTATTCAAACAAAAAATAGAAGACTTACTATTATGCAGACTACTGCAATATTGTAATAATTGTATAAATAACATCAACCCATTCATGACTGCATATTAGAATGGCTAGTTGGACATTTATTGGACAATGGCATCACTTGTTTACTTTTGAACATTGGCAAAAATCAAACATTTCCCCTACTTTGAGCTCCATTTCTAGGTTCTTTTTATAGTAAAATCAATCAAAATCACCTCTATTTCTATAATAAGTTTTCCATTCTATCAAATGAGACCAAGAAAACGAGAATACAACCATAAATACTATACGAAAATAGACCACAAAGTCGGCATTTTAATTAAAAAAAAACGGTCAGTTTTTTTTTTCTCATTATGCACTGCGTGCTCCAGGATTTTTTTTTATATGGTGCACACTGACCACACAGACCCATTCTCTCACATGTGGGCCTACCAGCTTTCTCCTGCTTGATTTGAAGCCGCTAGAATTTATGAGTATATATACGTCAAACACGGTACCTCGTAAGACGTATATATACGGCCACGACAGTCAAAGGGTTAAAATTGTGCTGCAATCTTTCAATAGTGCAATAACCACAATGTGGCAAATAAATCCGTGTACTGTAATGGTCTACTGTACATTTAAATTCACAATTGCTGTTAATTTTAAAAATTGATGCATGTGTGTTATAAGAGGCGACTAAAATGTCATGAGCAATGGGCTAGTAACCCCTTCTCCTGTATAAATTATTAAAAGTAAGAAGGCAAACTTTATAAAATTGGGGTGTTTGAATATGAGTGGATGTAGTAAAGATGATAAGAATGAGATGATTGCCAGTGTTATGAATGAAAAGAAGTTGGATGTCCTAGCTCTAAGTGAAACAAAGCTGAAGGGGGTAGGGGAGTTTCAGTAGGGAGAAATAAATGGGATTAGTTCAGGAGTATCTGAGAGAGCTAAGGAACGGGTAGCAATAATGTTGAAGGATCAGTTATGGCAGGAGAAGAAGAAATATAAATGCATAAATTCAAGATTACGTGGATTAAAATAAGGGTCAGATGCAAAAAGTAGGTTATAATAAGTGTTTATGAATTTGAGAGATGCTAAGTGTTTAGGGAGTTTTGAACAAAGTGAGAGTAATTGTGGTAAAAGACCTGAATGCCAGAGTGGGAGAAGTGATTATAGAGAGGGTGGTAGGTAAGTTTGGAGTGCCAGGGGCAAATGATAATGGGGGGGCCTTTCATCGAACTTTATATAGAAAGAGGTTTGGTAATAAGTAATACACACTAAGAAAAAAAAAGGATAAATAAGTATATGAGATGTGATATAGGGCATAATTACAGTAGTTTGTTGGCTTCTGTATTGGACAAAACGTTGATCGGGTGGGGATATGTTGCAGTTTTGAACTGTAGTATTGGTACCCCTCTGGCAAGACAGTGATGGCGAAAGTGTTTTTTCTTTTTTGGATCACCCTGCCTTGGTGGGAGATAGCCGATATGTTTGAAAGAAAAAAATGCCTATATTTTGTGCATCTGAATTTTCTATATGTAGCTTATCTTGTCAAGACACTAAATGACCCTTACAGATTTAGTGCTTTCCTGATTAATATAAAATTCTGGCTTTTGGCATTTTAATCATGTACTGTAACACTTTTATGCATTTGTACATCACTAGTTCCTATTAAAAATGGTGAGTTAATAAATATAAATTATCTGCAGCTCATACTAAGGGAATAGTTTTGAATTATCATTACAAAAACAGATGTAAACAAACTTTAACTAAAATAGTTTGGCTAGGTTGGTTGGGTTAACATTTAACAGCTCAAGTCAAAATAACTTCTTAAAGAAATGCACAATTCCCTTGTAACTGTGTCCATTAATATTTTTTTTTTTTTTGCAGCTTATATGCCTTACTAGCTGAGTCTTGTACCTAGAAAAATGACTGTTTTGTATTTAGGCAAGTAATGACCCATTTGGGTTTAGAGCTTAATTTTATTACAGTTTTTTTAATGTGTTGGCTGTTTATTTATTCAAGTCAAACAAGCATTCTTAAGCCAGCATTTCATTTGCTGTAGAATATTCATCCCTTCAAAGGAGGGGGGAGGGTGCATTGATGATAGTGAAGGGCTCTTTGATCCAAGAGTGCCAATCCAGGAAGGTTCTTTGATGGTGATGAGGGGGCTCCTTGATGCTAGCAAGGGGCTCCCCTCAGGGTCCTTGATGCTAACAAGGGGCTTCCCTCAGGCTCCTTGATGCCAACAAGGGGCTCCTTGATACTAGTAAGGGGCTTCCCTCAGACTCTTTGATACTATCAAGGGGGTTCCCCTCAGGCTCCTTGATGCTAGCAAGGGGGTTCCCCTCAGACTCCTTGATTCTAGCAAGGGACTCCCCTCAGGTTCCTTGATGCTACCAAGGGGCTTCCCTCAGACTTCTTGATGCTAGCAAGAGGCTCTCCTCAGACTCCTTGATGCTAGCAAGGGGCTTCCCTGTGGCCAGTAAGCCTACATGCCTACTTCTCAGTTTCCTCTAGAGGTCTAGCCTGGTGGGCATGCCACTTCAGCCTGCCCACCCGTCTCTCACTCTGGCACCCAAGCTCCCTCAGTTAACAAGGCCTACTCCCCTCTCCCTCACTGGCATGGCCCCTTGGGCACAAAGACAGCCTGTGTACCTAGATATCACAAATAAAGTAAGAAGCCTCCAAGCCTTATCATTCATCCCTATCCATTCCACTTCACCACAAACCTGTAAACATTGGTGGAAGTGGTGGTTGCAGCAGTTGTGTTGCCCAAGGAAGGAAGGAAGGAAGGAAGAGGAATGAAGTTGTCTTCACTTCATCACCCTACACAAGAAACATCTGTTTCTCAACGAGTTATCCTGATGTTGTATCTGCAAGTCTCAGCATCCAGACACAGGTACAAGCAGGATTTAGCCGAAATTTGCCAAATTTCTTTGAGAAATGTAAGTGGCGTCACCTGGCACTTCACAGCACCCCACGCAGTTTCTCAAGTCAAGTGTTCAGCGTCACTTGTATGTTGCTGCTGTTGATTTTCAGCTCAGCACGGCTATTTCAGCAAGCAGGGGTGAGTTTGTGGTGATTTCTGCCTCCAGTGTGAGTGTTTCTCCCCGTGTTTGTGGGTGGGAGAGGAGGAAGCGGCCATTCCTTGCCTCACCCACGTTCGCCCTACTGTACGCCACAGCACCATACACCACTTGCCGCTACTCATTCCCCCTCTGCTGTTTCTATGAATAATCTGTGAATTCGTTGCCAGAGCTGTGTATTCGAGTGTCTGAGGTCATTCGAAGCCACATGGATCTACAAGGCACGTGGGTTAAGCCAGATCCCAAGCCATGCTGTGGTCTCCTGCCTGACTTCATGACGTCACCCACGATGATGCCCGACTTCACAAAGTCACTCATGATGCTGCCCGACCTCACGACGTCACTCCAGGACGTCACCTCTCGA